TGCCAGAAGTTATCGTCCAACCATCTTTGCTTTTCTGAAACTCTAGCATTTTTGTGTAAATGGTTGACTGAGTCCTGACTTCTACAGGGACTCTATAAATATCTGGTAGAAATCTTTTCTCTAAGTGCTCATATTTGAGACTGTTTTAGCCATATTCAGAGTTAGACTTATTTCTCATTGCATTATTCCAGTTAATGTTACAACATTTTGTAAACAAAGTTTTGGTTAGTTTTCGTTCAGACGTTCTATTGTATCTTTTGTATTTGCTCCACTGGTCTAACATTTGTAAAGTTCCAGTGCCTGTGGAAATGTGTTGATTTAAATTGCTGTCTCTGAATTTGGGTCTTGATAGATTGCTTTCCTTATAATATCTTCTTCATGTGTTTAAGATGGTGAACACATTAGGTCAGTCGGTCGTTTTGGAGGTGACTGAACTCCTTTTGTATGGAGTAGGTGGAGAAGGAGGAAGGGAGAAGAAACATTTGGTTAGCGTGTTTGCTGGCCATGGGCTGGTTCCTGGATGTGAATTGTGGATGGTGTGTCTCCATTGTGTTTGACCCCTGAGAGTCTTTAGGCAGCTCTGCTGACAAACTCTTTTTTCTTTTTTGTGTCTCCTGCCATGCTCTCCAATGGTCTATCCTTTCCATCTCACATGGTCTATCCTTTCTTTTAAAGTGTCCTTTGTTTTCCCACTTTGGGTGTTTTTGTGAAATCAAGCATAGATGGATGTTCTGGAACCTTCATGATGGGCTCTGTCATCCAAACTTGTCATCCTTTTATCTCTTTCTCTTCTTGTTCCTTCTGGGGCCTCCATAGCCATGCTCTCTCCCTTCCTAGCAATTTTAACATTTCAATTACAAATACCTGAGCAGAAAAAAATAAAAGAAATTGTTGATTTGCCATTTTTGTGGTCCATGAACCATGCAGAGAAAGATTGGTAGAGGTAGAGGCAAAGGAAAAGAAATTGCTAGGCGAGATTAAGAATTTCTCTGAACTTCTTAATTCAACAGCCATAAAAGGAGCTGCAGAGTCCTTTTGCTGTTGAATGTACGGGGCCCTTAGAGACAGCTTTCTTTGCTGTGCTTTTAGCAGCATCTTCCATCATCAGAGAGTGTGTAGAAAGTGATATGTGCAACTAAATGGGAGCAGAGAACTACCTAGAGCTGATGCAAACACAGCAAGCAGCTGCCAGAAGCTTCTCTCTGTCTGTGACCATAAGGTACCAGGGAATAGGAATGTTTTGTCTTAGCCTGCAAATTATAGAAGGCAGCAAGTCTAGTGTTAGGACTTCCTATCTTCTTCTCACCCTAAGACTCACTTTCCAGAAAAGCAGAAACTGGGTTTCATAAATATAAAATAAGAAAAACAAGGTTACTGTCAACTCATATGTTATAGTGGTTAATGGCATTATAGATCTCAAGTGTTGACTTCCTCTTGATAAACATTTCTGCTTTTGTCTGTCATGTTTCTACACTCAGCCTTTTCCTCAAAAAGGCCAGGGTGTAGAGAAGGTTAAAATTAGTAATAATAAAATAAATTAATCCATTTTTAAAATGCTGAAAGAAGAAAGAGAGAGAGAGGTGTCAATAGAACAGAAATACCAAAACTAGAAAAGGGAAGATCTTGGGTAAGTCATAAAAAATGAAAAGAATGTAATGGTGAAGTCAGAAAAGATAGGAAGACTGGTATTAGAAAAAAATGATAAAACCAAGTGGGTCATGTAGCAACTAATTAATGACAGCATTATAAAGTATAATGCAAAAATATTTGTGACAATGAGGAGCAACAGACTATAACAGCTCTAACTACACAGTGCAACAGAGATACTTGTCAGACTCTGAAAGCATTACAGCTTCATCAGCGTGTGCCTGGGTTAATTAACACAAGTGTGGAGTGGTGCCGAGGCAGCTGCAGGGCTCCCAGCCCTGGGGCAGGCAAACTGGCAGATGGAGTGTCTGCAGCATGCCTTGAGTTGCACCTGACAGCAGAGGCCAAGGTTGCCTGACCCAACCTAATGCAAATATAAACAAGAAGACTTGGAAATTGCCTTCTTGAAGAGTTTTAGGTGATAAAGAGGGAGAAAGAATGGAAGAGGAAGAAAAAGAAAGGGCAGAAAGAGAATAGATAGCAAGGGGTTTTGGTCCCAAGTATAAGAAGAAATAAAAGAACATGGCACCTCCCACATATCAACTGCATCAGCTCACATCCTCCTGTCATTTCTTCCAGTTTACACTAAATGTTTGAAGCTGCATACTTGTGAAGGGCTTTGGAGTAAAAAGTAGTGGAAGGGGGATGGGAAATATTTTGCCTGGAACAGCTAACAGTGGCACTGTTCTTCCTTTTGTGTGATATAAACAACTCTTGCTGTTTTCAATCTGTGTGTCATTCTTATCTCTGTTAAAAAGAGCTATGAATTTTTTTTTTTTTGTATTTTTAAAATCCTTGTAGTATTGAAAGTTACTTGGGATGGCTTATCCTGTCTCTTAGAGAGTGGAATCAAGACAAAGGGTAATAGATGGTTTGCTCAAGTGCAGAGGAGATGTGTTCCATATAAAATATTTCATTCCAAACCTCCATGGTCTTACTCTGCTGTCTCCTCAGTGGAGATCCACATGAGCAGTCCTCTCACTAATTTACCAACATAGGAATAAATAAATCACAGGTAATTCCTGCACTTGTGGCACAAACTCAATATCCTGCCTAGCACAGGATTCTGTGACTTTCTCCTGTATTTAGATGAGTGCTGTAGAGGAATGAAGTATAGTCTCAGATAAATGCCACAGTGAATGGAAATTTATGTGCCAGAATGAACTCAGTTAGCAATGTAGTTCTTGTGCTGTATTGAATATTAAAGTGACTGAAATTGCTGCATACAGTTTGGACTGTCATGCATTTTAATGTTGAATTCAGAAAGCCTCCTTTTTAAAGTTTCTTCAGTTAATCTTGGAGAAATAAAAGACAAAATCAAATTCTGACCTGCTACAGAAATTTAGATAATTGCTTGATTCAGAGTTTCTTCCAGTTCTGTTGTGAAGAACTTGTGTTCTGAGATGCAATTTAAAAAGATTTTTTTTCCCCTTGAGCTGCAGTCTTGGTGAGCTGATAAAAGCTGAGATGTCTTTTTTATTATTATTACTATTTTTTGTATTTTTCACTTTTCATTAATAGCTAACTTATTTTTTCCCATGATAGGTGTTTTCAGAAGTTTCTGTAAATCAATCCAAGTGCTAATACAGAGTTCCAGGACTGTATGTGAAATATGAAGTATTGTAGTTGTAATAATTCAACAGGTGACTGAAAAATATTGAAAATAAAAAAACATATTATCTATAAATGTGGAGAAAATTAAGTCAAATGTTCATGAAAAAATGAAAAAAATCCCTTTCAAGATTAATATTTACTGGAAAATACAAGTGTTTCAAACTAAATTCTGCAATATTTATCTGAAGTTTTAAGAGTCTATCATGAGACCAAAGCTAAATTTTTGATTTCTATTCTTTTTCTTGTTGAGAACTTTGTGAGTATGACAACAAACAATTACAGCCAAGAAAACTAATATAGAAAGACTTTTCAGTGGGAGTTTTATTGTATTTCCTCCATCACTGTTCTTAGCATTAATCTGTTCCTGACTTACAGTTCTGAGCCAGTGTTTCACTTTAGAGACCTGTGCCTTATCTATAAACTGCTTGTGGAAAAAAAATATCTATTGGGATGCTGTTGCAATGTATTTTATTGGATAGGGTTAGAAGTATTTCAGTTAGCTACTCTGTTGATACTTTTTGTCTCTTAAGCTCTTATAATATATATTATATTTATTTTATTCATCATTTTATCATATCATAGAGAGAAAAAATTTAGGAGGAAAATTATTTGCATCAATGTCATGCTTCTGCTTTTTGTTCCTAATCCCCTTATTCTCAATATTTAAGGAGTATAGTTAGCAATTTTGTAGTCTAAAATTATGTCTTGAATGGAATCCTTGTAGCATTTTACATGCACACAGATGACATTTATATTTAAGTATTTTTATCATGCAAGCATACAGTCTAGTTTCATTCAGAACCATATCCTTGAGTGAAACCACTGCTGATTATCCCAGCTTCAAAAATATGATGGGGTGAATCCCTACCCCATGTATCTGAAAAATCAAATTTAGCTTTCCTCTTTCAACCTTGTGAAACCACATAAAGCACATTTGGAGATGTAGAAATCTGTGACAAAGCAAATGAAGGCAGTTTGACCCACAGAAAATTGGACAGAAAGAAAAGAAACAAGACTTTTCAAGTAATGAAAGGATGGTGAATACTAAACTTGAAAGTGCTTCTAATGCTTGCAAGTTTGCAATACCCATCAGATATTGCAGCAGGGAATTACCAGCTAGAGAGGGCAATATACATCTTTTTGTTAGTGGGGACCAGTTGAAACAAAGGACTTCCACCTAAACCAGGTAGAATTTAAGGACTTGAGTCTTAAACTGTGTGCTGAAAGGCCCACTGCTCAACTCAGAGGCACGTCAAACTCAGGAGATGTCTCCTGAGACATGTCCCTCACTCTGATTCTGCTATACATATGCAGAAACATTCTGGCTTGAGGATCATGTAGGTTTTATCTGTCCAAACTGCTTAAGAGGTCTGGCCTGAGTATAGGTCCAAGCACACAAAAAAAGTTTAAGTTACAATAAAAATAGAAAAAAAGCACCAATATTTTCCAGACTGCCATTTCAAGATAAGAAATATTATTAAATCTAGTCTTGTTGACAGGAAAAGTATTATTTATCCATAAGAGTTTGATTAAGTGGAAGATTAATTTTCAAGCAGGACATTGAAAAAACCTATTAACTTTCCAATTGTTGCAAAGGAACTTTCCTCCTGTGATTTGTTGCATGTCTCTGTCTTACTGAGAAGAGAAATCCTCATTTATTACTGTTTATTCTCCATGTGTCCAGAGGGCTTGGGGTATAAACTAATTTAAAAATTATCTTGTCTACATGTTTTACCTAGAGCAGTGATGATGTGAGCATCCTTGAGCTGCAGAAGATACGAAAAAAGGTTTGTCTTATTTGTTTTCTTTATAAATCTGCCTATCTGCTGACTCTATTTAATTTAGAGTTTTCTTAAAATGTGGTCTGTGGGGACATAGAAGGAAAACTGCAATTGATATAAATGTGTGCCCATATATCTGTCTATTTGTATGAGGTAAAAGGATCAGGACAATCTTTCCCACTAAATGGTAATGACACTCACGAGTCTCAATCATTGAGACATTCCATGTCTGGAATCTTAAAGAAATTAGAAATATATCTAGAAGATGTCATAGATGAAAGAAATTCAGATGTCCTCAGGATTCTGATGGTTAAACCTGTGGAAAATCAAGATTGGCCATCCAATCAGTGAGAAAGGTACTCCACTGGAACTGATAATGAAGGGTTGTCCCAAGTGAGTGTCTGTCAGCCCCTGTTTTTGCTTGCAGACTGGCTTCTGGCTGACTTTCAAGTTTTACTTGGAAGGAATATGCCATATTATAGTTATAAGAGAAGATTTCAGTAATATGGTATATTATAATAATATATCATATTACTGAAATCCTCTATTGCTTGAGTATTTTCTTGGTCTTTTCTAGATAGCATCTCTAAGCCTTTTAAATTTACTTTTTTCTCAGGACTTGCTTTTCCCCAGCCTTTTCCCTGCTCTTCTTGTACTCCTAAATGCCTTTTATTTGTGGACTCTTGACTTAACTTCCCCACAATACAACCAGCTGATGACTATAGTAAATGCTACAACTTTCCTTTACTCATGTTGAAGGCAGAATTTCTTCCCTCTTCCAAATGAGAAAGCTTTGCTTCTCACCACAGATTAGACGACAGGGAAATGATGAGCTACATATTCAGGTACACAACGCAGCAAAAGGTTATACAATAAGAAACTAATGTTTTGGCTGCAGTTGCACTAGTACCCCTGATTCAGGTTATGTAAGAATGCCAAGAGAGGGACTATTAGATTTTGATGATGTTCATGTTGTGTTCACATTGGTGCCCAAGTATGGCTTTGTCACTGATGGTGACTGACAGTCTGTTTATCCTCACTTATAAATGTGCGGCTTAGTTCGTGAACCTTTCATGAGGCCTTTAAAAACTTGGTAATCTGATAGGACTCAATAAAAGACTGGGAGGTAGAGTTATTTCGCTGATTCATCCTGCCAGCCACACTGATACAAAAACCTGGCTCCACACCAGGAGTGTAAAAATGACTGAGTTTCTCTCTGGCAAAGAAGACTCCATATGCTTTACGGACAGTAAAGTTCACAGAGAAGATTATGTCAAGATTTATGTCTACTGTTATTTAAGTTAATGAGGGAAATCTATCTCAGGGTAATGCATGCATAAGATCCAGTTGAATTAACTGTTTTAAGAGCATAATGAAAACCTATCAGGTTGCATATGTTACTAGACTTTTTCTTCTAGTTCTTGCAGTGAAAAGCAAAGTGGCATTTCCTTTTTCTCCTATTCATACTTTTAGTGAAGAAAATGTAGTTTTGGGGGTTATAGAATTATGAAGAATTTAATTTGCTTTAAGATTTTAAAGGTTAAAAGCCTGAAGAAGTTAGTTATTACAAGTGGGAATGTGAAAGTCAGCTGGAGATGTCAATTTAATAGGAAAAATCAGATTAGAAAATGGAGCTGTGGACTAAGTGTACTTTTATAATTATGGTAAATTAATTACATTAATGCAGCCCATTAAACATTCCATTTATACATCAAAATCTTGTCAGGTGAAAGAGGTCGTAATCTGATGGTTTAATATTTTTATTATAAATTTATCTTTCAGTATCAGTTTATATTCAACAGTGCATCTGTTCTGGGACTCTATACAGATGCTTTCTTGCTGTCTCTTTGCCAAAATGAAAGTGGTTCCACCTCAACAGTGTAAGTACTGGTAGTGAAAGCAATCAGAAAATCTTCTGTTCTCCCAGTCCATGGACAGGTACAAAGGCAATCACTGAGCTAGCCTGAGGTCTTGTCAAATGCAAAATAACAATTAATATCTTGGGAGGAAGGAGAGGAATTTCATTTTAATAATTTAATGTACTCAAGTAGAGCATGGCTTGTTTTTGGAAATCACAAAGCCAAAAAATATCATTGAGCTAGTAAAAGTTTGTGACAATTCTAGAATAACTGAAATAATAAAAATTATAATAATGTGGTAACAATACAGAGTTACATACAGCTATTGTGACAGAAAGTCCCATGTTAAACTTGGATTGGTAGCTGTGCTAGTTGAGACAAAGTATTAAAAGCAGCAACCCAGATCAGGAATTCTGTGAATTGGCCCATTGTGTTTTCTTGTCTTTAGAAGCTGCACTGGTTACCACGCATACCAAGTGTGGAGTTAGAGTTTTATTTATTTGCAGGACTGCAGACTTCTATAGTAAGACATCTTTCATTTCAGAATATTGTGGATGTAAAGAGATGAGATGTACAAAATGTTCTGATTCAATGGGTAGAGAAGCAGGTGTACACATATTATCCAGCTAGAGGAGTATGAGTGTAGTCTCCCTAGCCTACACTTATTGGGCTTTCTACATCTAACGAAGAAAGAGAGGGACATGTTCTCTATCACCAACTGAAACAATCTATTTCTGTGCAGGTTCCTCAGATGGATAAGGAGGATTTCATAAGTTGTACATCATGTCAGACCCAGGGATGATGACTAAAATTAGAGGTCTTGGGTAAAAGTAAATACATTCTCTGTAATGGCTTCCAACAGAGAAATGTAGGTGGTTTTGTTGTTCTGTTTTGTTTTGTCTCCTTTTTTTTAAAAAAAAAAATCAGGAATCTATTGCTTTTTCTCATGAAGTTGTCAAAAAATAATGCAAACTCAAGAAAATTACAAACAAGCCAGCATCATTGAAATTATGTATATTTATGGAAATTTGGAGATGATGGCAGTCCAATTTTTTCTTCCAATATTGAATAGAAGTGAAAGGGTTTGGGTGAAGTCACAAAGGTCACTTGATTGCTTTTTGATTTAAGATAAATGTATTAAAACATTAAAAAAAAAAAAAAAAGAAAGTAAATCCTTCAAAATTTCCAAAAGTTTTTCTACTGCCCTCAGAAACAGGTTTTAGGTAAATTTTCATTCAAGCTGAATTTTAAAGTTTTCCAATCTTCTGTGATAAGACTTAAAAAAAAAAAAAAGCTTTGTGTTGTTGATTTAATCTATTCCCCTTTTCTAACCCCACATACAAAAAATACCTCACTCCTGTGAATGAAGAGTGAAAGCAAAAGCCTTTTTTTTTTTTTGCATTGTTTTTTCTTGAATGGAATCATATAGACCACATAATCACATATTAGCCATAGACCTCTTATCTTAATTACTCTGCTGAGAAGGGGCAGGCTGCGTAAAAAGCAATAATCAGAACTCAGTGAACTGTTTTTTGTCTTCAGCATGTTTCCTTCTAATGTTATCTTCATTAACCTTGCATTTAATTGGGAAAGTAAACTTCTCAATGAATTGCCTGTGTTCTGATTTCCCTTTAAATTTAATACTACATAAAAATCTGTTCCATGTGGTAGAACAGACAGTTAATTCTTGTTGCTGTCACAAGTGTGTGTTTCAAGATAAGTTGATAATGCTGTCTTGAACCAGCATGGAAAGGACTGGGAAGTTCAGGAAAAAACTCGAGAAGATAGGGAAAAGGAAGAGGGCAAGGATGGGCTGAAAGGAAGTAGCTGTAACAGGAGCAGAGAGAAAGCAAACATTGAAAAGTTGATCAGAAAATGATTGCCTTCAAAGAACTTGAAACTTTGCAGCTGTTGAGCACAAGAAAGACATAACAAACCCTCACAGTGAAGTGCTTTCTTAGAAAGAGTGGTACTACATTCATACTGATTCACTGAAAGCAATAATACTAGGGAGAAATGTTCATTTCCTTCAGATCCTGGTTAAGGGAGGATGCATATGGCAGAAGGGCCAGGCTGATCAGGTCTGCCTTTCTCAGCGTCCCTGATTGTGTTGGCAGTTAGCTGTGTTCCCTTCCTTGCTCTGTCCTGAAGCTTTTCAGTTGCTTGCTATTTATTTTTCCCATTTGCTTTCTATTTTATGTCCCTTTACATATAGATTTTTAAATTATTTTTCTACTTTTCAGTCTTCAGACTTGTTTCCTTTCTTCTCTGCTGTTTGAAGTCCCTTTTCCATTCAATAGAAAACTATGTTATTTGGGGTAGAGACACTTGTTGATAAATGTTTTCTTCTGTAATTTGACTTACCAGAGTAACAATAACAGGTGAGGAAAGTGCAAAACTTTCTGTGCAGAAGTGTGATCCCACTTGGTATAGCAACTGTGCGTGTAGAATAAGGTCTGATCTGAGACAGGAGGAGGTGGGTCTGAGCTGGTTTACCATGTTTTTCCTGAATATGCCAATCCTCTGTGGACTTTGACACTTTAGCTGCAGACTGCATGCCCTTCAGGACTCCCAAGTTGAACAACATTCAGGATTCCTCTGCCATAGTACTTGAGGGAACTAAATAGTTTCTCTGTTAAAACCTGTAGCTGAAGACTGATCTACATATCCAGGTGATCATTTATTCTGCAGACCTCTGAACACAAATAGGACATTGAAAGCTGCAGGGATTGGGGTGAATGTTTATTGTCTTGCCTTTGTTGACATGATTTTCTTCAGGTATTTCCAGCCTACCTGATGAAAGTCCCAAGGTAAGGAGTGAGTAGTCAGCTGTAGCTCAAGTACTCACATAAGTACCTTTCCTCCTTGAGGAAGGTTATATAGGCAGTCTAGAAGACCAGATGCTAGTGAAAATGTATTTTCTCACTGTTTTCAGAAATGAGCTCTTTTAACAGTGTAGAGGACTTTTAGAGCTGCTAATAAAAAACCTGTTTCCACTTAAAAAAAAGTGGCATCTGTCATTGTAAAGGTTGTGGTGGCAATATGTTGACTGTTACAAACCAGAGCATTCATGTTTGAAGTATTTCAGTCCAAAATGAAGCACAGGAAAGGAGAGAAAAAGTGAAACTAAATTGGGCAAAAACAAGGAGAAAGAAGGCTATGAGCAGACTCATGGCCCTAGGCAATATGTAACTGATGAATGGTAAGAGATGAAGTTTTATTCCCATTGTGAAATCAGTGTAAGTGTTAAATAAATTAGTAATCTCATCAATATCCTCCTGAGTGAATTTATTTAGTACAGCAGGAGAACTTCTGATTCTTTCTCTTATCTATGTTTGCAGAGTCCTCTGACAGGAAACCACTTGCTGGCAGATACAGAGAGGAGGAGATCTGCTGGAGAGCTCTTCCACGGACTTTAGAATAATGCTGACCTCTGGATGACAATTAGACATCCAACATGCGTTGCTGCTGATTTGCTGTTTCTTCTGCATAACCTGAAAATGTAGTGGTATTTACTGAAATAAAAGTAAATATTTTCTCTGTCCTTGGAGACTCCTCTTCACTTTATTTGGGTCTGTTAGTTAATTTCTTCATGCATTGCTTTCACAGTGCAGAGGAAAATGTGAGCTTCTTCCTGAGTACTTATTCAAAGAAGTTGGCAGAAGCAGTTTTAACTCAGTATCTGTAAGGATTTAGCCACAGTACTTTATGTTTTCAACTGTCCAATAGAAATAAAAGATTTAAAAATAGCTTTTTTGCATAGGGATCTGAGCCTTGAGAATTCTCCAAATATTTTGAGCACCTGTGAACTTAAAGAGGCATGAAAAGAATATATGCTTGTAAAACAAACGGCATGTCCTGAGGGAGTCACAGTCCAATATGCTTTGGCACTGTTGTATCCTCCTGTGGTCCTTTCTATAAAGAATTCTCAATATCATAAATAGAAGTTCGAGGATGAATAGTATTCCTTAAAATAAACTCATACTCAATCAGATGAAGTAGATGGCTAAAAATAAACCAACAGAAACTTTGCAGTCAGGAAGAAAACTCTGAGCACTTTGTATTAATACAGTACCTGACATTTCCTGCTAAAAGCCTAGAATTTTTTTTCCAGTAATTTCTATGATAAATCAATAGAAAAATTGTTGTTTAAGAAGGCCATGATGAAATAGCCTGCTACTTTATAAATGTGGATTGTCATAACTACTTTATTAAAACAAAATAAAGAACCCCACTATAACCCTCAAAACCAAAATCTACAGCAGAAGCATAAAAACATTAATTTAAGCAAGCTAAAAAACAAAAGGTAACTCTTATATTAAATATGGTGGTAGTAAGATAATCCAGAGTTGCTGAATGTACTAAGTAATTCCTAACCATTCTTGGTGCTATTTATTCTCCTTCAGATAGCAATAGAAAGCTGCTGGTTTGTTAAGTCAAAAAAGTAATCTTAATGTTTTTATGGGTGACCTTGAGAAAAAATTGCTGGAATGGAAAAGGGAAGAAGCAGTTGGATGGATTTAGGACATGTATGTCTTGTAAAAGGGGTGTGGAAGGAGGGGGTAAAATATCCCAGTGCAGGCATCAGTAAGTGGAAGAAATTATCATTTTAATGCACAATTTTTTATTACATCCCTGTGAAACTGTCAATATTTAATATAGAAATCACACAGATGGAGGGTGAACTGTTCCGTAATAGGTCTAGTATAATAACTCCTACTAAAATTAAAATGACAGAATGATTTGTCAAATTTCCCCCCAGCAAGCTTCTGTTTATAGGATGACTTACTGCACTAATGGAACAGAAAAATTTCAAACTTACTCAAGGCATGGTTCAGCAAGTAGCAGTTTCTTGGAATAAAGACAAGAAATTTGATCTGAGCAAAAGTAACAGGAATAGCCAATTGTACTAAAATGAAGCAAATAACAAGATCAGATTACATCAACTGGAATAACACCAATTTTCGTCAGCCTAGGGTTTATGTAGAGTACAAAGAAACAAAGGAGTGGATTTTCCAGAAGAAAGTAAGTCTGCAAAGTTGCATCATGAACTGAGAGGTTATTCCCCAAGAAATTGGTGACTCTGCAGTCCACACCTTGGTCTCTTCCTTTTATGGCTGTACTAAAACCTTTCTTTAGGCTTTTTATGAATTATGTCACACACTGCCTCCACATTTCATTTCCTCCTGCCAAAGTGTGTCCTCCTATTTCTGTAGAACTATTTGTTTGCTGGTAGTATGTTTTTTAACTCTAGTTTTAATTTTCTAAGGTTTAGTTGTCTAAGGCTTTCATCCCCCAAATGCCCATCTACTCCTAGAAAGCACCCTGCTTGTTTTAGATGTGCTGGCACTGGGATTTCTAGCCTAAATGTGAGTATAATCCTGTTACAGAATACACATACAAGAATATTAGTACAGTCTGCTTCACTCAGGATCCACAAAGGGGCTTTGGTTCACTCTGATGAGTATTCTTTTTGCCATGTGAAGTTCACTGGTCAAAAACCTCTCTTGGCCTTCAATTTCCAGCTTTATTGTTATCTTTATTGCTGCTTTAGCCTATGAGTGGCTGACTAGGCTGAGCAGCTGTAATGTGTTTGCTTCTGCTGTGAAACAGCAGAGGAAAGATCATGTCTGAGGGCAGAGACCTGAGAGCAGGAACATCTTACACTGCTGTAACGAGATCTGGCCATCTGTTAGTGTTCTGGCATTAGACATTGCTTGCACTCTATGAAATTTAGATCATATTTTTTATCACCATTTATTGAATTAAGAAGGAAATGTTTTCAGCTACATTTGATATCAAAAGTAAAATTCCGTGTCACTGGCACTGAACATTAGCTAGTGTGGGGAAGTGTCCATGTCAATAAAGCAATGCAAATACCTGAGTTAGGGTGGTGGCATTTTTTTGGGTTGAGCCCAGCTCACAAACTCAGCACTGTAAATGGTTTTTATTACTAGTGAAATGCTTCAGACATGTTTTTAATGAGTTGACTTAATATGAATAACTACATTTACAGAAAGAACTTTAATTCAATTTGCTAAGGAGTTGACATGAAGAACGTATTATTTGCACAGGAAATTGCTTCTGTATAAAAATGTAACAAAATACCATAATGACCTTTTGAAGAAAAATAGACTTCTTTTGTCTCTTCTGTTTTAGTCTTCATTCCTTTTCTATTCTGAGTAAAATTGTAAAAGAAAAGTCATAACACTGGAATAATTTTATGTCTTAGCTCCTTTTAAAGTGTTTTTTTCAAACGCTCTTTTATTTCTATCACCCCATAAACTGTATTTTGAAAATAATTCTCATTATGTTTACTCAGCTTATGAATTTCAGCTTCAAAAAGCATTTGGGGGGGAGGAGGTTTGTCTTTTTCCTGCACTTTGAAAACTTTCTTTTGATTACTCTTGTTATTTTTATTTTCCCCATGACTATGTTGCGCACCTTTCAGTTGTTCAAAAATTAGGTTGTGATGTTTGCGTTTAGTTTAGAGATTAGCTGTGTAAGGCTAAATCAAAAATGTGTTGAGTTGTGCAGTCTGTTTGATACAAGAGATAATGCTGAGAGAAACCACAAAATGATAAAGGGTTCTTTCTCTTGTGAAGTTACTTCCTTCAGTGTTGAAAGTGATCCATTAGATCCATTACAGATTCAGTGACATGCTATTGTTCTTCATGTTCATTCTCAGCAATTCTGACTCTGTTGCTGCTGCTTAATCATAGAAATGAAGAAAACATTAGAAACATCATCACAGCCTGGTGTGGGTTGCCAGGGTTCCCCTGCAGGCTCCCCTTTCCCACAGTTTATCACAGCAGCATCCTTATGTAAAAGATGCCAAGCAGTCTTTCTCCATCACTTCTTCCCTTGCTGCCTAGATTGGTATCTCTCTTCTTAACCCCCTCTGAGCCTTTTAAAGCTCCACCAGGTGAACTTGAGCTTTGCATTTCTCTTTCTACTCCACACATCATAGTGCTGTAGTATCTCAGTGCATGTTCTACATACCCACTTTATCAAGATAATCTCCTATGCCCTGGGGTTTCCATTGTCTGTCTTTTCTCCTTGGAATCATTACATTTTGCCTATATGCAGTATTTTTTTGGCTTCTAACACCTAATATTATTCTCAGTCTTCTCTCTCATTCCAATCCTATTCTGTTGTTCCTTGTCACATTTGTAAATATCATTCCTTTTGTAATGTTTCATTGACTACTGAAGCCTCTTCAGCCTACCCCCTTACACCTGCAGCAATTTTCAGGTGGCTGGAATTGCACAGCTGCAAGAAGTGCTGCTGAGTTCAAGGAGGTTTTCTACTTTTTTTTTTTTTAAGATTTGTCTCTGTAAAGCTGAGTGCAGGATTAGAACCTTTAATTGCAGTCTTCCAGGAATAGGAATTGTATTGTTTTCATGAATATGTGTGTGTGCTCTCCAGAAAATGCATTGTATACTAATTCTGTGCAAGTGTTGCTACTTTAACTAACAGGACTGTGGTGGGTTGATGCTAGCTTAATGCCAGGTGCCCACCAAAGCTGTTCTATCACTCCCTCTTGTCAACACGACAGGGACAAAAATACATGACAGGGCTGAAGTAAGAACAGGGAGAGATCACTTATCAATTACCATAACAGGCAAAACAGACTTGATTTGGGAAAAAAATAATTTAACTTATTACCTATCAAATCAGAGTAAGGTAATGAGAAAAACACTCAAGTGTTAAAAAGAAGATCCCCTTCCCTCCCCTCTTCCCAGGCACAACTTTATTCTCCATTTACTCTACCTCCTGCCTGGAGGCTGCAGCAGCAGGGCTCCCCACAGGATCACAGACTCCTTTGGGCATTCATGTGTCCCAGTATGGATCCTCCACAGGCTATAGGTGGATCTTTGCACTCCTGTAAGCCTCCATGGAGTGCAGTGGGACAGTTGCCTCACTATCATCTGCATCATGGCCTGCAGGGGAATCTGCTTCTCTCACATATTCTCACTCCTCTTTCTAGCTGTGACTGCTGCTGCACAGCAGTTTTGCCCATTCTTAGCCATGTTATCCCAGAGGTGTTACCACTGTTGCTGCTGGAATCGGCCTTGGCCAGCAGGTCAGTCCTGAAGTTGGCTGGCATTGGCTGTGTTGATCACAGGAGAAGCTTCTGGCAGCTTCTCACAGAAGCCACCTCTGGAGCTCCCTCTGCTACCAAAACTTGCCCCACAAATTACCCAAATACATCCAAAGCCTGGAACATGTGTTTTCCTGCATGTACATGGAAACACTGAATGAAAATCAGAGGTTACTATAGCACATCAGAGGAAACGAGATAGATACTTCTCTGAGCCAGTTTTGACATTGCTGTCCTCTGACAGACACCTCTTGTGTAACAACAAGCCTTGTCTGCCTCAAGACAGTACGTGGCGTCTGAGTGCAGCATCAGGAGATACAAATCTGACATGGTTCACAACACTGTCTTTCCTCCATCTCTGAGGCCGGATCTCTGCTGAAACGACACAAGAGCTCTGCAGAACAGGGAACATGCACACTCCCCTGCATGCAGATGGGGAG